CTTTATCATGTGACCTTTTTCAGTCTTAGTTTCAGATATGCCAAAAGGAGCTGATAATCAATCAATTACTCCAATCAATCAATGAGCATTCATTCAGTATCTAAGATGTGCCAGCACTGTTCTGGGTACTGAGGATAGAAAAATCAAAATCATCCTGCCTTCTCATGGCATATATCCTAAGGGCTTCCTGAGAGGAACATGTCCTTGAAACCTTAAGGCACAATATAAATGTGAGTTTCAATAATGAACATTAGCGTTCATATAGCCTATTACACTCATTCATTTGAGTGACAGTCTTATCACTCAAGGACTGTATCCCCAGGTCATACAGCTAGAAGTGTCTGAGGCTGAATTTGAATCTTCTTGACTCCAGGCCTGCCCCTCTATCCCACTACATCACTGGAGAATGTAGCAGAGAACCTGCCTAGGAGAATCTGCCTGAGACATCAGGATGTCGCCTGGTGAGGACCACTGTACTTGGTGATCACCAAGCACCCAGAGGCAGGAGGATTCTGAAGCTCGGGAACATCTCTGTCTGGATGCAGAGTTTCCCTCTTTCCCTGCATTAAGATTCCACCAATCGTTGGCTGGCCACCACAATAGTGTCTAAGTAAGGGACACAGAGCTAGTGGTGATAATCAGTAGATTGGTGAGGAGGAGTAATCAATTAATCAAGAAACAAGCATTTATTAAGCAACTGCTATGTACCAGACATTCTGCTAAGGACGGAGAGAGGGGAGAGAGAGACAGAGAGAGACAGAGAGAGACACACGCACACAGAGACAGAGAGAGACAGAAAGAGAGAGAGACACAGAGAGAGAGAGACAGAGAGAGAGAGAGACAGAGAGAGGAGAGAGACAGAGAGACTGAGAGAGACAGAGAGAGGAGAGAGACAGAGAGAGGAGAGAGACAAAGAGAGAGAGAGAGAGACAGAGACAGAGAGAGGAGAGAGACAGAGATACAGAGAGACAGAGAGAGAGAGACAGAGACAGAGAGACAGAGAGAGGAGAGAGACAGAGAGAGAGAGACAGAGAGAGGAGAGAGACAGAGACACAGAGAGACAGAGAGAGAGATGGGGGGAGGGAAGTGAGGAGCCTTTTGGAATTTAATTCCACCAGCTGCCCAGCATTTAGCAGTGACTTTGAGAGATTATGAGTCCTTCCAGACATTGCATTAAGGAAAATAATTTGGGATTCAATTTCTTTAGAAATTTTTACATTCAACTTTTTAAAAGGGACGGAAGGAAACAGGGCATGAAACACTAGCAAGAGCCAAACCTGGCAGGGTGGGCAGGCAGACCCTGTACAGCCCTCACCCCTAGAAATCAGCTGGAGTCTGGCCTCAAGGCTGGCCCAGCCTCCAGGGAAGGTTAGAACTGATGCCTCTGATCTTGGCTCCCAGGAGCTCCAGGGAGCTGGAGTGCAGCTTCTGTCGCAGACTCAGAAGTCATGTCAGTGAGGGTCTGACTCTAGCGGTCGTATAATGGCAAGAGATCTGGACTGAAATTCAGATGAGACTCAAGTTCAAATCCCAGCTCTGATTCTGATTAGCCCCTATTTCCTCATCTATAAAATGAGAATTAAAAAAAAATACTTTCCCCAATTCCTTAGCTCACAGGCTATTATGACAAAGGCTTTTTGTGAATTTTAAAGTGGTATAGAAATTCAAGCTTCTCTTTCTTCAAGGCAGACCTGGGCTCCTGAGACATTCAGTGCCCTGACTTCCTGAATTTATAACCATGTCAACATTGTCTAGACTAAACTATAGAGTCTCTTTGGGGAGCAGGGACCATGCCACTTTTAGAGAAGGTGCCACTTGGTGAAGAGAACACTGAAACGTGAATCAGGAGGCCTGGCTCTGGCCTCAGATACTCACTAACTGTATGACCCTGGGCAAGTCACTTAATTGTCTGCCTCAGTTTCTTCATCTACAAAATGGGGATAATTACAGCACCTACCTCCATGGATTGTTGCAAGGATCTAATGAGATTAATAATTGTGAAGACCTGAGCACAGTGCCTGGCACATAGCAGGCATTATATAAATGTTAGTTATTACTACTACAATTGTTACTTCACTATGTGACTTTGTCACTTAACCTTGATGCGCCTTAATTTCCCTCCCAATGAAGGGGCTGGGGGGCAGATGATCTCTAAGAACTCTTTCTCATCCTAAAAATCCTTTGAGGTTTTTGGTTCAAAAAAGAGCAAGGACAGAGGTAGGAAGGGAGGACAGAAGACCACTCTGGCCACACCCCCACCCCCCCTTCCCCTGGCGCTTTATGAGCAATGATTTTTTTCATTAAAGTTTTACTGTGGGCTCTGTTTAAAAAGGCAGGGAAATGTCTGATAACAGTTTAGGGGGTAAAAAAGTTCTTTCCAAAGTGGTGAAAATGAAATAAGCGATGGTATGTAAAAGAGAAATGGATTTTTCAGATTAGCTAGCAGACCTCATTCCCCGACCAGGCCAGCTAAATTAGGTGTTAATGTACAATGCAATCCTGCAGTAATATGCTTACTTTAACAAAGGATCATGTACATTGATTCCTTTCATTGCCCTCATACAGTTCATTTGGATTTAAGAAAGAGAGAGAGCTTAGCTCACAGGGCACGCACATTGTGATGATTTATTGATGCTTAGACAAAGGAGATGTGAGGGACATGTGCCTGTCTGTGACCTAGTGATGCAGGCTCTTTTTATCCAAAGTCAGGACTGGCCAGAGTGGATGTGAGGTCCAGGCAAAGGATGCTCAGATGGCAGGACCGTGGACTGACAGGAGCAGCGCCTGTATAGCGGACTTTAGACTGTTTACTCAGACAGACCATTGGATGGAGAGCATGGAAAGCTCCCTCTTTCAGAAAAAAAAATTCTACTTTATTATTATTATTATTATTAATTCTACTTTTATCTTTTCCTCATTGTCATTTCCAAATAATACCCCTGTACCCGGTGAGTCTTCCCTTACAAGAAAATCAGCTAAGCAAAACCAAACAAGCCCATTAATAGTGTATTATGTGTGTATGGATAGGATGTTGGGTAATCAAATATACAACATTATATACAAATTTGTGTATATGTGTGTATAATATATATGTTATTGAGCTGTTTTTTAGTTGTGTCTGACTCTCCATAACCCCATTTGGGGTTTTCTTAGCAAAGATACCGGAGTGGTTTGCCATTTCCTTCTGCAGCTCATTTTATAGATGAGGAAACTGAGGCAAACAGGGTGAAGTGACTTGCCCAGGGTCACACAGCTAGTAAGTGTCTAAGGTTGGACTTGAACTCAGGTCTTCCTGACTCTAGGCCTGGCACTCAATCCACTGGACCACTTAGCTTCCCCATAATATACATACATATATAATATACAAATATATAGAATATATGTGTATATATACATATGTGCATGTATACAAATGAGCTATGGGTATATAACATATAACTATGGGTATATATATTTCATATATATGCATATACGTGTAAGCAATGCAACCCATGTATACACATGTATACAAGTGATATAACATGTAGATACAGGACATGCATGTTTACACATGCATTACATAACTTACAGGTACATACATGTGTGTATATGTATATGCATATACATACATGGATATGTACATATGAAATGTTATGTCCTATAGTACCAGTCTCTCCAAAGAAAGGTAGGAGTTACAGGCAGCTGGGTAGTGTAGTGGATAGAGCATTGGGCCTGAAATTAGGAAGACTCAAGTTCAAATCTGGCCTCAGACATTTACCAGCTATGTGACCCTGGGCCAAGCACTTAACTTCTATCTGTCTCAGAAACAATAATGGCACCTACATCCCCGAGCTGTTGTGAAGTTCAAATGAGACAATATTTATAAAGGATTTAGCACAGTGCCTGACACATAGGAGGTGCCATATGAATGTTTATTCCCTACATTCTCATCTCTATGGGGTCAAGATTGGTCATTACCCTCACACAGCATTTGGTTTCACTCTCTGTTCTTTGGGGCCACGCTACAATGTTGTTCTTTTGGTTCTGTCTACTTTACTCTGCATCTGTTCGTGCCAGTCTTCCCACGACTCTCTGAATTCCTCAAATCTGTCATTTCTTAGGAAGCAATAATGTTTTGTTATAATCATATGAAACAATTTGTTCAGCTGCTGTCCATTCAATGGGCACTCAGGTTATTTCAATTTTTTTTTTGGCTACCACAAAAAGTATTGCTATGAATGTTTTGACATTTATGGGTTCTTTTTGTCTTTGACTTCTTTGGTAATCCCTTCATTTTTATCCCTGTTTTCTAGATGAGGAAATAAGTCCACTTAGGTTAGGTGACCTTTCCAAGGCTACACAGGAAATAGCAGGATTTAAATTTCGGTTTACTAACTCCAAATCCTATATTTTTCCAATTCTACCAAGAGAACTGAGGTCCTTTGTAGATCTAGGGTAAGCAGGCCTCAGGCACTTTGAAAATACCACTTTCAAGAAGGTGGGAAATTGCTGCCCCACAGGGATGTCTTTGGTATCACCAGAAAGCTCCAAATCCTCATTTCAGTCTTTGGTATCACCAGCGCTGTGACGGAGTAGGCTCTAACCTGCTCATTTCAATGTGAGCATTTATACCTCAGAACAAACCTCAAGTAAACCCTCCAAATCAGAGCTTGATTTTTAAAAAAATTATTATATAGACTTGAGAAAGTGATGGAGAAAAAGTCAATAATACAAATTAAACATCAAAGTGTGTTGTGAGCACATTTCCCCCCTGGAGAAGTGTTAAACATTTAGCAGCACCCCCCTGGGTATCACAGAATCTCAGAGTTGGAAAGGACTCCAGAGGCAATCTCATTCAACTCATACTTGGACAAGAATCCCTCACATGACATACATGTTGAGGCATTATCCTGCCGGCAGTGATGAGAAACCTCCTTCTTCCCAAAGCAGTCCCTTCCTTTGTTCTGGGGCAGCTCTGCCCCAGAAAATTTTTCCTTACATGAAGCCTACATTTTCCTCCTGGTAACTCATCGTTTTTAGTTCTTCACACTGAGGTCTAATCTCTCTTCCTGGTGACATCCTCTCAAATATTTCCAAAAGCCATCATGTCTACTCTGATTCTGCCATCTTCTCTTCTTAGGGCTGAACATTTCCATTTCCTCATATGCAGCTCTGTGACAAGGGATGAATGGAACGATTCCCCAGAGCATGGACAGCACACGCACGCTTTCAGAAGGTATGCAAAATGGAAATGAACACCCAGTTAGCAAGGATAATTACTAAAACTAGGAAGCTACCAGATGGCATTTTTCTCTACCTCTAGCTGCTGTCACTCACCCCAGATGAGTCCCTCTCTGACCCAGCCCCTCCTCACTGCAGCCTTCCCAGTAGCAACTCCATGATTCTTTTAAAAATAATTTTTATGGACATCTTTTGTTTTTGCGTCATTTTTATTTGCCCTCATCAGAGGAAAACACTTCAGTAAAATTACCCAACATCAAAAAAGTCTGACCTTATCTGCAGTGTTCTACAGTCACGATTCTCCAATTCTGCAAAGAAATGGGAGAGATGCCTTTTTGTATCTCCTCTTTAGGGTTCAGTTTGGTCATTATGATTTCATAGCATTGGATTTCAATTGTTTTGTGATTGATGGTCTTTTCATGTTCTGAATATATGGTAGATTTTCCTGGTTCTTCTTATTTTGCTTTGTATCAGTTCATATAAGTCTTTCTATGAGTCTCTGTTTTCATTATTTTCATCATTTTTTTAAAATTTATTTAAGTTAGGCAATTGGGGTTAAGTGACTTGCCCAGGGTCACACAACTAGTGTCAAGTGTCTGAGGCTACATTTGAACTCAGATCCTCCTGACTCCAAGGCCAGAGCTCTATCCACTGTGCCACCTAGCTGCCCCCGTCATTTCTTATAGCACAAAAAATGCTTCTATATTTTAGTATGTCTCCTTTTTTGTCACTGACCTCCTTGGAATGTATGCCTAGCAGCAGACTCTTTGGGTCAAACAGAAGGAACATTTTGGTAAATTTTTTTTTTCACAAAAGTTCAACTTGGCAGCTCCATGTTGTCCAGCTCACAACAGCTGGTATCCTGGGCTCTTCCTATAAAGCCTTGAGTCAATAAGTCAAGTTGACAAGCATTCTTAAGTATTTATCATATGCCAGGAACTGTGCTAAGTCTTAAGGTTTGAGGTCTCTTCTCATTCCAAAAATGAATTTATCTTAAAAAGTTAACTTGAGAGGGAACCTTTCCTATTCCATGCCCAAGTTGTCAGAGTTTCAAATTACAGCTCTGTTCATGGGTCATGAATTCATGGAATTCATGGGGCAAGGGACTCTTGACTATTGTGGTCATCTTTCTCTTAACACTCTCTACTTTATCAGCATCTTTCTGTGACACCCAGAACTGAAAACACACAGTATCCAAGATGTGGTTTGACCAGGGCAAAACACAGTGAATTGATCACCTACCTCCCTAATCCTGAACAAGCATCATGATTCTTTTAAGGTAGTCTAAGATAACAGTTACTTTCTTGGCCACCATATCACACTTTTGACTCATACTGAGCCTTCAATGCACTAAACTCCCCAGGACTTTTTCACATGAACATATTGTCTAGACACGTCCTTCTCATCTTGTACTTGTGATTTTTTTTTTAACCCATCAGTCCTTATTGGTCACATTTAGGGAGTTACACATAATTCTGGCTATTTCTGTCTCATGTTTCACTTCCTCCATTCAAGGGAATAGTTTGGCTAGAATGCCTCATTCAAATTAAAGTGGTTTTAAAAAAGAAAATACCAAAGAGGAAGTCAAAGAAAATGGATAACTTTAAAATTATAATGATATTTAAGAAGATATTATTTGTTTTGATGACACTCTTGCTTTTATCTTGTTATGAAGGTCAGAGGATGTGAGTAGAAGAAGGAAATGTCCTATTTTCGCCATATATATGAAAACCCAAAATAGGAATGAGCCAGGGCTGGGGGACAACTCTCACAGATGCCCAACTGGTAGGGTGGGCAGGCAATATCCCAATTGGCTTATACTATTATCATTCCCTTAATTGGGCTTAATGTTGAATACTGGCTGTTTTAAAAAAGGAAAGCACCTGGAAAGACTTATATGAACTGATGCAAAGTGAGCAGAACCAGGAGAACATTGTATACAGTAACAGCAATATTGTACAGTGAAGAACTGTGTTCTTAGCAATACAATGATCCAAGACAATCCCAAAAGATTCATAATTAAAAATGTATTTGCCTCCAGAGAAAGAACTGATGTTGTCTGAGTACCAACCAAGGCTTTCTTTCTTTCTTTCTTTCTTCCTTCCTTCCTTCTTTCCTTCTTCTTCCTCTTCTCTCTCTCTTTCTCTCTTTTAAAAAATGATTAATATGCAAATAGTTTACATGATTGCACATTTTAGCCATATCATATTGCTTACCATCTCAGGGAGGGGAAAGGAGAAGGATAGAATTCGGAACTCAAAACTTTAAAAAAATCCACAAATGTTAAAGATTGTTTTAACATGTAATGGGTGGGGGGGAAGTAAAATATTATTTTTAAAAAGGAAAACAAAGATTATCATTTCATTGAACAGAATAAGAAACACTAAAAAAAAGCAAGCTTTAAGAGGTGGAAATGAAGGCTTGTGAGGATTAAGGAGGACTAAGAGAAGACGAAGGTGCCTGGAAATGTCTGCTTAACCCGTTGATCTGATACAAGTTAAGTTAGAGTTCCTCTAGGAGTCGGATTTTTCATGGAACTGACCTCACATTCAGTAGAAAGATCAGATTTTGAAGGTTTGGCCCCGAAAAGTCTGGAATTCAGTCTTCTCCCATCATGTGTGACATCAACATTTTAAAGAGATGAAATAGTACAGTCAGCATGAGTTCTTAACCTGGGGTCTGTGAACTTTTAAAAACCATACATTTTAATAACTAAAATTTTCATATAATTGCTTTCCTCTGTAATCCACATATTTTAGTTTATGCATTTAAAGCCATTATTCTGAGAAGGGCTTCACCAGACTTGCCTCAGGGAGTCATGGAACAAAAAAAGGTAAAGAAACCTTAGTGTGACAGAAACTAAGACTTGACGTCAGAAGACCCTTAGGTTCAAATCAGACTCCTGTGGCCAAGTCACTTAGATTCCGTAAGCCTCATCTGTAAAATGGGTATAATAATACTCATGGTACCTACCTCACAAGGTTGTTGGGAAGTTCATGAGGTAATGTTTGTAAAGCACTTTCCAAATTCTAAAGCTTTGTGCCTTCTTAATGCAGCTCAAGCTCAATTTTTTGTCTGTTCCGCCACGTTGCTGACTCCTGCTCAGCCCTCAGGCCATTAAAATCCCTAGATGTTTTTCAGAACAATTGTTATCTATCTATGACCCTTCTCCCCTCTCCCATCTTATATTTGTGGAGGTGATTTTTTTGTACCCAAGTGCAAGACTTTGCATTTCTCCCTGTTGAACTTCATCTTATAGATTCAGGCCAAAGTTCCAGCCTTCCAAGATCCTTTCGGCTCCTTACTGTTATCCAGACTGTTAGTTCTTCCTCCCAGTTTTGTTCCTGTAACATCTCTGCCTTTATCAAAGTCATAAACAAAAATGGACAAGGTCATGGAGACTTTCTGCCCTGTTGACATTAACAACTACTTTTAGAGTCCAGCCATCCAACCAGTTCTGAACCTATCCCAGTATAGGCTCATCTAATTCATATCTCCCCATCTTTACCATCAGAATAATATGAAATACTTTATCAAAAGCTTTGCTAAAATCCAGGTACATTTCAATCTATAGCATTCCCCTTTTCTACTGGCTTAGTAATCCTGTCAAAAAAGGAGATGAGGTTAGTCTGGCAAGACCTCTTCTGGGTGAAACCAGGCGGGCTCTTCCTAATCACTGCTCCCCCTTCTGGATGCTCACCAACCATCTCTTTAATGATCCATTCAAGGAGTTTTCTGGCAATCAAAATCAAAATCACTGGCCTGTAGTTTGCAGATTCTATTCTCTCCCTTTTTCAAATAAGTGCTTGCTGAATTGAATGGAATTAAATGAAAATAATATTCCTAAAATACAGGTCTATGTTGACTAATAATAACAGGGGCAGCTAGGTGGCTCAGCGGATAGAGTACCTGGCCTGAGTTCAAACCTTGTCTTAGATCTTTACTAGCTGTATGACTCTGGGCAAGTCATTTAACCTCTGTTTGCCTCAGTTTCCTCATCTGTAAAATGGGGATAATAACAGTACCTCCCTCCCGTGGTTGTTGTGGGGATCAAATGAGATAATATTTTAAAGCGCCTAGCACAATCCCTAGTACATAGTAACTATTATATAAATGTTATCTATTTATTATTATCATCAGTATTTAAATAGCAATTAGCAATGTACTTTGTATATGTTATTTTATCTGATCTTCACCAATGGCCCTATAAGCTAGGTGTTATTATTATTATTATCCCCTTTTTACAGATGAGGAAACAGAGTCTGAGAAACATTAAATTACTTGTCCAAGGTCACACAGCTAGTAAGTGACAAGATTGCAAGTCTGGACTCTCATTCACTATGCAGCCGCTATCACCCTGATGCTGAATAAACTGTGGCTCCCTATTGCCTCTAGGAGTAAATTCAAATTGCTCTGTTTTGCCATTTAAAACTCTTGGCATCCCAGTCTCAACTTACCTTTCCACTCTCGTTACACCTGACTTCCCTTCCTGCACTCTAGGGTCCAGCCAATGGATGCTTTCCCCACAGAGGACTCTCCATCTCCCTTCGGCATTTTTAATCAGATTGTCTTTCCCTCCCCAAGATGCCTCTTGGCCTCTTAGGGTTCTTAGTTCTCTTTGAAGCCTAAAATAAGCCCCTTGAAGCCTTCTTCAGGAAGACTTTTCAGTCTCCTCTCCCAACCCTCACCCCTGGGGCCTTCCCCTTCCTGGTGCTAATTTGGTGTTATCTCTCCTCCTAGTATCTAAGTTTCTTTATGTCGAGGCTTGTCTTCCCTACATGAGGTAATGAGGTGTAGCCCATGGAGCACTGGACTGGGTGCTGGTGCTGAGCACACGAAACCAAAAATAACAGTCTCAACCTTCAGGAAGAAGCTTACATTCCCATGAAATTCAACAGGAGCTTGAAAGGACCTTATAGATAATCTATCCTTACTCCTGAGCCGCCATCCCATCCACTGTACCACCTAGCTGCCTCATGCTGCAAGAGAGGCCTTTGAGATTTTGTTTAGAACTATATGCCCACCTCTCTGGGGGTGCCCAGAGACAGACCTTTGGCCCACGAGAGACCATTAGAGATCTCTGGAGAGGGTGGACCTCACTTTCCCTCCTTATCTTTTTTTTTTGGCTCCAACTTTGTCTAGGCCCTTAACAGCCTAGTTCTCTCGATTTCCAGTTTAGCTTAGCCATAAGCTAATCAGCTCTTCCACATTGCTTCTCTTCTCCAAGGGTTGGGTTTAATCTTTTTTTCCCCCCTTCCTTAAAACAAACCACTAAACCATAATCCGAAGTGAGGAACTCAGAAATTGTTTAATAAAACTAAAAAAAAAATACAATCAGACAAAGATGCTGGTTCTTGGTTGGGATGGACTGCACAGAAGAAAAGGTGAAATCAGCGGGGGGGGGGGGGGAAAGGCGAGTGCCATGGAGCTGAGAGCTTACTGCAAAGCCTGCCCACCCCCTCCACCACCACCTGGGTCTGCCCTCCCAGAAAGTAGTCCTCACCTCCTCTTGGGCGCCTCAGTGGCCTGGCCTCATACAGTGGTGCAAAATGTAAATTTCCTGCAACCAAAAGGAGTGCCCAGCCATCCCTGGGGGAAGCTCCTGTTCCAAACAAAATATAACAATAGAGTTAATTAGCATTGCATGGCTCATGAAATCCCCTTGAGGGGACCCTTCTTGGATTTAAATCATTGCTTGTGTTCAAGATGGAAGGGCTCCCACTGTGCAGACCCTCTCCACTAACTTTTAATAGATATCCCCCTCCGCACTTCTCCCCCTTCCCCTCTGCTTTTTTTTCCCCATCCTTCCCTGCTGGCTTTGAGGGGATAGCAGCTGAGCCTGGACTCATTCAGCAGCATTACCAGCTGCATGTTAATGCCATCGAGGTACAGTCCCCTCCTTTCCCAGTGGGTTCTTCCCCACCCCTCCATCCACCCCCAAGCCTTGCTCCCCAACCCTTTACTTTTCTCCTCACCTCCTTAACCCTTTCAGCATCACAGGCATCTGTCATTTCTCAGGCAGGGATTGGAAGTAGGTAGATCTGGAGCAACTGGGCTTCTTTGCAGGTGGGGGAGAGGTGAGCTGGACCCTCCAACACCCTTAAACTCGCCTCACTTTCAGTCAGTCTCTAGCATTTATTATGTGCCCGGCACCATGCTAGGTATGGGGATCTTAGGCGTATGATTGAGAGCTGGAAAGGGCTTTAGAGATCATGGAGGCCGACACCCTCAGCTTACAGATGAGGAAACAGGCCCAGAGAGTGTGACTTGCCTAGGAGCACACAGCTAGTGAGTTTTAAAGGTGAGACTGGCACATAGTAGGTGCATAAAAAGGCTCGATCAATTGATCCTGTGTCCAGAGTGGGTTGGTTCACCTAGTAGGGCTACTTTTATTAAAAGGAAAAACTCATTCAGAATAGGAGTTTCATAGCAAATATGCTTAAGTCGTATAATGAAACTATTTGGCATTAGGCTTGGAGTCACAAGGTAGAAAGTTCACAGAGTGGCTTCTCCAGGTCCCCTTCACCTAATCCTCACTGAGCAGCCACATAGCATTAGGTGGGTATGCTGTGGCATGGGTCCTTTGGGACAGTGTAATCTATGGCAAATGGAAACTAATAAAACAGTCAGAATAGCTTACTACATACAAGGACATAAGCTGAAGCAACCTCAGATGTGGGATAGGAGATGGGGAGAAGTCTGGCCCTTTTGCTGGAAAAGCTGTAAACGCTCCGGCCCTCCAAGGTGACCCAGAACCTGAAGTTCACAGTGGAAAAAGGTATCCAAACTGCTTTTTGGGCTCTTACCCTGGTCTTTTTCCCCCCAGCTTGATCTTCCTTCTTTTCAACAAAAGAATAAATTGTTCAGTAGGGTATGCAAATGAATAACTCAGGTCATTTGTGTAGACCAGCATGGTTTTCTAAATCAATCTGTGGCTCCAGGAATTATAGCTTAGTGGCTCCCGTTTGAGTCTGATACCATCACAGCTGACAATTGGGCCCGTCAAGCCAATGGACAGTCAGCAGGTCGCCTCGGGAGGCTCATCATCTGTGGATTTATCACTAGGCAATAAAGCCACAACACATTCTCAGTCAAGGTTAAATATTAACCGAAGACTTAGAAGGTGATGGGAATTAACTATCACCTCGGGCTTATCGCTGCCTGCTAAAGAAGATGCCAGTCATTGATAGCCAAGAGCAGAAGGTGAAAAAAGCCTTGGAGAGCCCATCTATTGCAGCTCACTCACTTTACAAATGAGAATATTGGCCCGGAGAGATGTCATGCCTCGCTTAAAATCACACAGATTGTTAAGTAGCACAGTTGAGACTCAAATTCAATTCTTTGACTATTCCCAGTACTCTTTTTTTATGGTGAGGCAATGGGGGTTAAGTGACTTGCCAGAGTCACAAAACTAGTGAGTGTTATGTGTCTGAGGCTGGACTTGAACTCAGGTCCTCCTGACTCCAGGGCCATTGCTCTGTCCACTGCACCACCTAACTGCCCCCTCCAGTATTCTTTTCAAAGAAATCCCGTTAAGAAACATTTGATGTCAGATTCACAAGTCAGAGACAGGGTTAAGTCATAGGGATGTGGGGCTTCCTGCCTCAGCTCCCTCCCCACTCCAATCCAGCGTCTACTCAGCTACCAGGATGATGCTGCTAAAGCACAGATCCCACCACACCTCACTCTTCACCTCTCTACCTCCAGCCAATAAACCCCGGTAGCTGATTATTCCCTCCAGGATCAATTCTAACCTCCTTTGTTTGGCTACCTACCTCTTCCAGTACCTCTCACTTCAGCACCTTAGTTTTCCTTCAAAATTCATCTCACTTTCCAGCCACTACTTCTGGATGTCTTTCTTCAACCTCTACAGCTGCTAATGCCTATTCTCTTGAAATGATCTTCCATCTACTTTCTCTCTATCTTGTATCTCCCTAGTTGCTTATATATGGTTTCCTCTATTAGAATATAAGCTCCCTGAGGTCAGCAGCTGTATTTTTGGACTTCCTTTGTTTTCAAAGAGGACCAATGACATCACCAGTGATGTCTTGACTTGGGGGTGAATTGGATTTAAGTGAGGCAGAGTTGTATAGAGTCGTCAGCCTCACTCTTTCTGCAGAGTCGTCAAAGCCCAGTGACAGAAGTCAGGATGACTGGTGATGGCCAGAGCTCGGTGTCTTCGATGTCTGGCCAAGCTTTTCAGTGCTCCGCAGCTCCTGCTTCAGACACCTTCATGACTGTTGGAACAAATTGTTCTAGTCTGCCTATTCTGCCCAGGGGAAGTCTTCACATGCTTGGGGTAGACATCCCTCTAACCAACCCAGGGTTTGAGGCCTGTCGGTAACCCTCAACCCAGTTTAGCCCATCTGCCAAGATGGTTTAACCAGGGTGTGGCCACTCCACATGCTATAGCTTCTTGGAGCTACAGGAGAGAGTACAATAGTACATAGTAGGTGCTTAACAAATGCTTGTTGAACTTGACAAGTTCGTTAAGACACTGCCTCCCTGCTATTATTGCTGGATACTGGACTAACCTCAGATATGACCATACTTCCTTACCCTGGCCATCTTCTGCCTGCCACCTTGCCACTGCTATAATTGGCCCAGCAGATAACCTGTCCTGGAGGAGATAAATCACTTCCTATCTGAATATAAGTTCTTGAGGGAGGGACTGGCTTTTTATATGTGTGCTCCCTGCTATTTGCCCAGTGCCTAGCAAACTGTAAGTATAAGCTTTCATTCATTCATGCATTGGATTTGGGGGCTGGAAGGGAACTTAGAGGCCATACAGTCAGGGATCCTTAATCTTTTTTGTTTCATCCCTTTGGCAATCTGGAATGTTTTAAAATGTGTAAAAAATAAAATACAGGGGATTGCTTTGGAAACTAACTATACTGACATACAATTACCAAAATATTAAAAATTCCCAGTTCATTCCCCTTCCTCCCGAGTCTATATATGGACCCCTTTTACAAACCCTTATAATCCGATCTTTTAAATAAAAGTCTATAAGAGGATTATAAATTTAAAGCTAGACTAGACCTCAGAGGTCATTTAATAAACCCCTATTTTTACAGAAAAGGAAAAATGAGATCCCAAAAAGTTAAGTGGCCTACCCAAGGTCATACCAGCAGTAAATGGCAAAATTAGAATTTAAAACTCAATTCTGAGATTCTTCATCATCACAATCATCGTCATCATCATCGTCATCGTCATCATCATCGTCTTAGCTAGTGTTTATACGGTGCTCTCTATGTGCCAAGCTCTCTGCTAAAGTGCTTTACAATTCTTAGCTCATTTGATCCTCACAACAACCCTGGATAGTAGATGTTATCAATATCCTCATTTCACAGATGAAGAAACCAAAGCAGAGGGTGATGTCTGAGGCCACATTTGAACTCGGGTTTTCCTGACTCGAAGCCCAGTACGCTACCGACTGAGCCATTTAGATGCCAAAAACAAAAGGTGTGGTCTTACAACTTCTAGAAGTAGGATGGTGAGCATTGAATCACTGAGAATATCTATTCACAAGGGGTTGGACCAATATATATTTTGCATTTTCTGGGAAAATTTATTAAAACTAAATCAAGACCAGAGTAAGTTCTTCCCTTAAGAAAACACATTGCCTGTCTTCATTAATTCTGGAAAGCAGTCCTGTACACTGTCCTCACTGGGAAGTTTAGAAAGGGGTATTTTGTGTTCTCCATCCACATAACTAGAGACAGACCAGGTTCATCTTTCCTCCAGCGGGGAACTTGCCATGGCTGCTTCAGCTCACAGGGAGTCAGCAAACAGTAAGCATGCAATTACTTCTCTCCCTATCACCCTAGAGATGAATAGGCCTGTCAGGCTGCTGTTTTTTCTTCCAGGAATTCCTCGTCCTCAAGTGACATCGTAGAAAATTAACTTGAAATACTATCAACAACCAATTTGCTCCCTTTAATTCCAGGTAAGGAGTCACGCCTCATTGCTTTGTACTTGTTCGTTCCAAACACCTGGCTCCATTCCACCGCTGCTAGGTGAGTAGTGATCATTTCACCATTACTTTTGCACTCACAAGGCACGGGCAAAAGAAAACCCAACATAAGGAGTCCTTCTGAAGCTTCATGGAGGCCAGTGATCCCTACAACTTCTCTTGGGAAGCGACATTGCTCAGTAAAAGAGTACACACAAGTCAGTGATTTTTTTTTTTTTGCGGGGGAGGTAGTTCCAAATTGCTTTCCAGAATACGGTATCAATTTACAACGCCGCCAACAATGTATCAGTGTGCTGGTGCTCCCACGCCCCCTCGGACAACGGTCGTCTTCTGTTTGGGTCATCTCTGCCAGTCTGAGAGGTGTGAGTCGGAACATTAGAGCTGTTTTAATTTGCCTTTCTCTCATGAGGGATGTGGGGCGGTTTCCCATATGGTTGTTGATACCCTACATTTCTCCTTTTGGAATTTGTCTGCTCACGTCCTTTGACTGTTTATTGATGGGCAGTTGGCTCTTGTTCTTAAATATCTTAACAAATTCCCAACGTACCTTGTATAGCAGACTTTCGTGGAAGAAACTGCTTTAAAGATCCCCCCTCCTTCCCAGTTAGCTACTTCCCTTCTAATCTTATCTGTATTGATTTGATTTGCACAAAAGATTTTCAATCAGTTATGTCATCAAATTGTCCATTTTGTTATCCATGATCCTCTCTTAACTCTTTTCGGGCAAGAACCTTTCACCTACCTAGAGTCATGAATGACATCTCATTCCTTGCTCCTTCATTTATGATATAACCCTTTAAGTAATAATATAATAATATTATAGGAGTGGGAAAGTGAGCATTGGTCCCTGAGAACAACATCTCCTACAAGGAGTTGGACCAATACTACATCTGGCATTTTCTGGGCAATGTCTTTCTCTCTTCCAAATTTATTAAAATCAAACCAAGAACAGATCACATTCTTCCTTTGACAAAACACATTGCCTGTCTTCATTGACTCTGGAAAGCAGTCCTGTACACTGTCCCCACTGGGAAGTTTAGGAAGGGCTTAGGGTTACTAGTCTAGTAGTTCAAGGTTTGCAAAGTGCCTTACATAAGTTATCTCACATCTGGGTTATGTATCTATCTGGAGATTACTGTTTTATTGTACCTGGTGTGAAATGTTGGTCTAAACCAGGGGTATACTGCTAAATGTTTAACAACCAGCTCTCTGGGGGAAAATGTATTCACGATTTAAAGTTTTATCAGCATTATTAACTTTTTCTCCACTACTTTTTTATGTCTCAACAATCAACAAAACAATATGTCAAGCCTCAATTTGTAGCATTGGCTGATAGCTAAGGTAAATGCTCATTTAAAAAATTTAACCGTTGGCTCTTGTGACCTGGTAAAAGCTGGTTCCACTATACCTCTGTAATCAAAGTTTAATTTATACCAGTCTGCTTTTCACTTTTCCCAGCAGTTTTCATAGAATAGACAGAGCTTCTCCTAGTAGCTGAGGTTCTTGGGTTTGTTGAGCATTATATTTATTTATTGAACACTACATATATTTGTTTGCTTCCTGGCCTTATGTTCCTAATCTGTCTCATTGATCCAATTTTCCATTTCAAAAAATCAGTACCATATAGTTTTGATGATTACTGTTTCATGGCTTAGTTATACAGTATGATATATAGAGTATAATATAGTATAGAATATATAATATAATGTTTTCCTTGAGATTCTTTACTTTTTGTTGTCCCAGATGACTTTATTTTTTTTTTGTTCTATAAAGTAGACCTTTGATGGTACGATTAGTATGGCACTGATTAATTTAATATAGGTGATATTGACATTTTTATCACACACACACATACAGCCTAACCATGGGTGATTAAATATCTTTCTAATTAGTTAGGCCTGTCTTTATCTCTGTAAAGTTTTTTTTTTTAAGTTGCAATCAATTTTTGTGTGTTTTGGTAGGTGAACTCCCAAATGTTTTATATATTCTGGTGATCTTTTGAATGAAATTTCTCTTTCCATCACTTCCTACTGGTGTTGTGGGTAATATATAGGAAGGCCAGTGATTTGTGCGGGTTTACCTTATATCCTGCTATTTTGATGAAGGTATTGTTTCAATTCACTTTTTAATTGATACTAGGGTTCTCAAAGTAGACAATCGTATCAGCTATAAAAAGTGATAATTCTATTTCATCTTTACTTATGCTTATTACCTTAGTCTTTTTTCTTATATTATTACTATAGATAACATTTCTAGAACTATATCAAATAGTGGTGATGATGGATATCCTTTATATACCCCTTATTGGATAGGACTGTAATGTTCCTCATTATATTTAACACTTGTATTTGGTTTTAGATAGGTATTATTTGTCATATTAAGGAAGGGTTAATATTGCTATGCTTTATCTTTTTAAAGAATTGATGTTGTGGTTTGTCAAAAGCTTTTTCTGTATCGATGTAATCATGTGATTTTTAATTGTTTTGTTATGAATATGGTCTATTGTATTTATAATTTTCCTAGTATTGAACCAACTTTATATGCCTGGTATAAACCCAGTTTGGTCATGGTTTATTATCTTTTAAATATTTTATTATACCTTCTTTGCTAATATTTATCCAATGTTCATTAGAAAATTGTTATACAATTTTCTTTTTCTGTTTTGTCTTCCTCTGCTTTTGGCAGCAAGACTATTTTTGTATCATAGGAGCAATTAAGTAGAATCTCTTTTATTTTTGCAAATATTTTATGTAATATTGCAACTAATCTTTTAAAAATGTTTGCTAGTATCCATCTCATCCTGTCTTTTTTCCCACTGGAAGCTTATTTATGTCTTGTTCAACTTCTTTTTTCTTTAGATCGGGTTATTTAAATCCTCTATTTATTTGTAAATATACAACTATTTTATTTACCTTATCAATTTTGTTGGCATGTAATCAGGCAACATAGTTTCCACTATTCTTTTATTTCTTCTTCATTTGTTGCTATTGGTAATCTGGTGTCTTCTCTTTTTAAAATCAGATAAACTAGTGATTGACCTTTCTTTTAGATTAAAAAAAAACACCTCCTAATTTTTTCAGTGGGTGTCTTTCTGCTTTCAACTTTATTAATTTCTCCTTTGATTTTCAGAATTTCTATTTTCACATTTAATTTTTAAAATTTATTGCTTTTTGTGTGGGTGCATGTGCCCAATTCATTGATCTGCTCTTTTTCTCTCTTATTGATGAAAATGTTTCCCCTCAACACTAGGTTGGCTGTATCCCCAAAGAACTGGTGTGTCGTCTCACTCTTGCCATTTTCTCTGATGAATTTACCTAGTGTTGGCACAGTTTGTTCTTTGATCCATCAATTCTTTAGGATTAAGTTATTTAGTCTCCATTTATATATGAATCCTTTCTTCAAAGGCACTTTTTGATGATAATTTTTGTGTTATAGTCAGGAAAAATGTGTTTATTATTTTTCCTTCTTTGTGTTTAGGAGATTTTTATGTTCTAAAATTTTTGTAAGGGGTCATTAAAAATAGAGAAATCTGTATACATCTTTCTACCACCTTTCAGTAATCACTGGAGGACTATGATAATTAACTTTTCTAAGGTTCTATTTAGCCCCATAACTTTAAAAAAAAATTTTATCTAGTTATAAAAAGGGTAAATTGAGGTCCCAAATTATTATATTTTTGTTGTCTACCTGTCCTGGTAATTTGATTAACTTTTTCTTTAAAATATTTAGCATCTAAATATTTAGATGCTATGCCATTCAGTGAGTATATATTAAGTATTGGTATTATTTCATTACCTATGGTGTCTTTAAGCATAGTTTAGTTTTCCTGTTTATCTCTTATAACTGTCTATTCTTATTACCTTTCCTGAGATCATGATCACTATTTGTAGTTTTTTAGATCAGCTCACCTGATACATTCATGAATCATATTTTAGCTTTCCTTTTCACTCCTTGTGAGTCTCTGTGTTTCAAATGTGGTTCTTAAATAATGAGTGAGGGCTAAGTACTTAGAAGATATTCATATCTGTCCATCTTTGTGGATTATACAAAGCATGTACAATATGCCCTAATTGGTTTTAGTATAACATGTGGAAGCCCAGTGAGCCTGCTTCTAGGCATGTGTAATAGAAAGGCCCTTTCCCCTATTCAGAGCATATTCAGGTATCCTCATACCATATGGTGATGAATAGACTTTTAATAAGCTGCTGAGCCAGAACCCAGTGTACATACAAAACTCAAGATCTCTCTTTTCTGGTGGCTTTCTAGTGAAGATGCTGACCTAGAGGCGTGACTCTGCTCATGTACCAGACCCCACCTGTATACAGATAAGGAAACAAATGGCAAGAGGTGTTAAATCACTTGGCCAAGGTCACACAGATAGCATCAGAGGCAGGATTCAAACCTGGGTCCCCTGATTTCAGAAGCAATGTTTTTTTCACTCTCCCACGTGACATCTGTTTCACCTCTTGGACCCATTTACTTGGTACTTATGGTAAGAGAAATTACTTAAACATGAGACAAAAGTTCTTTCTAGGAGACAGCTCAAATTCCAGTTTCATATCATTTATTACTATTTTATAAACATCTATCCTGGGCTCAGTTCCTCTTCCCTAGGGTTTACAATCTTGGATTCACAATATTTGAGTAAATGACCACGGAGAGAGCAGACAAACAACTGAATAATAAACCTTGAGCAAGGAAGATCGTAAGATTAAATATGTTGGCTATGAGTCCAAGGGTAAACATGCTTGGGGTGGGGTGGGGCAAAAAGGGGAAGTTGTTCATTCATTTGGTCAACAAATGTGTTAGCCAAAAGAGTTCATGTGCGCAGTGCCTTTAGGAAAGAATTGTGTCTTCATGGAAGGGATGCTTCATGGAAGAAGGGGAATCTCCTTTAAGAATAGGAGAGATATAGCTTGGAGGGTTTTAGAATGGGGAGGGATGAGCAAATATCCTTATTCCATGGTAGACTTTGGAAAAGGGTTTAAGAGGCCGGGATGTGGTATTGGACCACTGAACGAGTTTGCCTAAGAGAGGACTGAT